TATGTATGTAAAATACAAATACTCCCGATCCTCGATTCGAGGGAAATCTAATTCTGGAGGGAAATTCGGGGAATTTTCGGAAATCAATTGAATCAGATCCTTGATCGAAGATTCTCCTCAGTCGGATCTGGCAGCGATGTAGGAAGAATCATTCGCGGAGGAGATGCCTCGGACACGGGAGGATTCGAGAGCAGGATGCAGCTCTCCGCTTTCATAGCTTACTCACGTGGTATTCCAAGGCTATACCTGCTAAGCTACTTACACCGGTTTCTCTTGCCAAGCGTCTTGGCGGGAGAGCTTTAACGAAACTCTTGGAGATCGAGAGACTCTCGGGGGGTGGAACTTCTGAAAGCGGACACCTGAACGCTCGCAGACTCCGGCCATTAAGCCAGTGCTGAAGTAAAAAGATCACACGAAGTAGCGTTCGGGACATTTCTGGGATCGACGATACGATTCTTCTCCCTACAGAAGTCGGAGATCCTGAGATGAAGCCGTCACGTGACTTCCATCCTCTTCCCACAGAGTTGGAATCATTGGGTCTGCCCCCTACTTCAGGCCCAAGCACGGGGGTCGAGCTTGAGGATCAAGACCGGGAGGAGGCCATGCAGGAGGTTTTTCCCAATCATTTCTGCGCGGGACTTCTCCTCCGCAGCAGCGCTCACGTATGTATGTATGTCAGCAGCCTCCTTCCTCTCGGAGCTTAGTATTCATAGTCTTAATCAATGAGGTCATCGTCCGGACTAACCATAATATCTCAAATGAGTAGGAAGACTTTCCGAAATGTGAGCATTTTCATGAGGCAGGAAGATTCATCGTGGCATGACGTATGACGTCACCACGGCGATTCGTGGCGTTTCTCAGCAATCGCAGAATTTCCCAGAAACGGAATATCGTGAAAGTATCCGAGGGGAATGGCAATTCGCGGGAGAAGAGAGGAAACATCAGATCCAACCCGGTAACAAGCGCATTTCGAGACCCCTTTCGATATTCTGACCGGGGACTCTAGGTGGACTAGAGCCGATCCGTCGTCCTCGGTGATCGCGGCTATTCGCGGTAGATCCGAGTGCATGTCCAGCGAGGAGGAATCAGCTCGTGATGGCGGATCACGGGAACCTTTCGTTCATTCGATTCCTGAACAACCTTGGTGATATTTTTGTGCAGAGAGTTACGTATCAGGTATCGGGAGCCTTGGGATGACTGGCGGAGGGACCTCCCCATGCGGAGAGCGCTCCGTCAATGAAGTTGGAATGGTCGTTGGACAGGGTCTTGAGATTCGAAAGAATGCGCTTCCGATCCAAAGCAGTTGCAGATCGGCGAGCCGGCTGCCCTCTGCGGAAAACGTTTTCGAATGCACAAAGCGTGTCGCGCGACCGGGGGAGCAAGAGCGAAGGCTTACAAGATCCTTCGCGAAGGTACACATGCCGATGACGCCCGGGAAGCGTCTCCGAATTTCCAGAAGGAGCTCCTTGATGAATATTGTCCATATCTCTTCACTCCTCCCTTTCCGCCTTCGAAAAGCACCTGCTGATTTCCCTCGTGCGACCCACGCAGCCCGACGTTCCGGGTATCCCCAACGAGACATTGCTCCCGCTGACGGATCTAGACAGGTAATGTGGAGCGGGGGCCGTAAGCTGTATCTTTCGTTGCTCGCGGGCCACTCAAACGGGAGTCTGTCGCCTGAGTACGGCCGTCATCATCGCGAGTGGCCCCAAGGATGATGAATGAACTTTTTGCGCACGGGAGGTTGGATACGTTGGCTCCTCACTTATCCCATTGATTAAGTTTGTCTGCCACCTGCCACTATGGATCCTGCGCTGCTCGATATCGCGTGCCTTCCCCCTTACGAATGTTTTGTCTGCGCATTTTCCTGACACGATTCAATCTGCGAAGAACTCCAAATATTTCCGTCGAAGCGAAAGCTCATTCCGATAAAGTTCAACTGGATTTCGATCGGAGTCCTTGCATCGTTCGGATCTGCCCCCTTGCATCGTGTCGATCTGACTCCTGGTTGCGTTTCGAAAAATACGTATTGTATATTAATCTGATTCTCGTTCAAAGAGCATGCGTTCACCTGAGCATCTCGCTTCTAGGTCGCGAACTCGTGCTGGATTCAATGAACCCGAACGAGACAGGTATTTTCGGGAAAGCGATAAGGTTCGCCGCGAAAACGGTTGAGAGACCGTCTATCAGTACCTTCCGAACTTTTTCGGGCTGATCCACACAGCCAAGGTTTAACGTCCCGGGTACTGTTATTCACATTGCTTTCGAGGACGGATCCATAGAGCAAATGTACCCAGTCGGATCAAGGCCGCGTACCTGCGCTTCCGAAAGGAATATTTTTCCCGGAGCAGGGATCGAACCCACACCGCCTCCCGCGCGAGCGGCGTCGTTGCGGCATTTCACGAAGTGAAACGCACGTTTGCACGAGTAGTTACAAACGCGCTAACCACTCGACCACCCGTCGGTTCATCAGTACCTTCCAGGACTTATGAGAGCGGATATATGTAGCTATGCGCTCCCCATGAGACCGGCGCCCGGAGCGAATTCCCGAAGATTCGGAAAGAGGACGCGGTCTGAATCCCAATGCGATACGATCGTGCCGCCTAATTTCGTTCATTGCGAAATGCAGAAACCTTTGGCTCGAGAGGACCTCCTCGAACTTTCCCCAGACTTCCACGCTGCGGGAATGATGCTCCCGGCGAGGGTCCCGTTTCTCCGGAGCGATCGTACTACGCGACAGGTCAGAAGCTTAACTCGGACACTCATTGCGACCGCCGAAAAAGAATTTTCAGCACTCGATAGTTCGAAATATAGATAACCAGATGGAGTCGAAACCTCATTCCGTTTCTTGACGCTTGCTTCCTTTGTTCCGAATCAATTTCGTACGATTTCTCGGTAATTATCAATTATCCGTTCCTGGTCACGGAAGGGAAATCGCATCCCTTCACAAATGGATTCTCCCGTTGAGTTGTAGTCCGCCTTCGGGCCTAACTGCGCTGACTGACAGCGCTGCCGAATGCTCTCGCAAAATGCCACTACTTGAGAGAAAACATTCATCTGAGAGGAAAACGAATCCTTCATTCTTCGGACGGTGATTCAGAAATCATAGGAGCTGCTCGAATTGAGCCCCTGATCCCAACGGGCAGCGGTTTTCGAACTTGAGACCTCCCCGACATTGGTGGGAACCAGCCTGGCGAACGCGCGCGGCCGCATGCGTCGCCACTGGCCACGGGGATCGATCCGAAAGTCTGGAGCCGATATCTCGAAAATTTTCAGTCCCAGAAAAAAACACCCCATTACCTTCCCTGACCAAAATGCTGAGACGTACCGATGGGAGGTGTTCCCGGATAGGGTTTCCGTGGAGAAAATAGAAGTTTGATGCGCTACCTAGGAAACCAAAACTGTTGGGGAGCAGGCAAGACTTCCTATGGATGTAGACTCAGAAAGCCAGGGGAGTCATCCATAAAACTTTTTCCTCTAAACCACTTCGTTCCGAAGAAGAAAAGATCGAAAATCGAATCGCGGCACCACCCTGTATATACGTAGTCGCTGGTTCTAGGAAGTGGGAACTACCTACATAGCCGTCAGTCCGTGGGCAGCGGGATGATGCTCGGCGAACTGCTTGGTGGAGAGGATTAGTGGAGAGTGCCGTGACGGACATCTCAGCTCGGACCGGGGAGGAAATTGGTAATTTCCCAGGATACGGACATGATCAAACAACTGGAAAACTACTATATCCTACACTCCTTCAGGTGGCTCCGCATCTTTCCAGTGTAGTTTAAAGTGAAAGCGAACAGGAATAGGCACCGATAAGTGGTACGGCGAGACGGGACCTTACTGTTTTATTATATGAGGGGGGATGGAACCTCATGGTTCCCAATCGAACTCCGCGTGTCGTCGGCAGAGCGGACGCGGGAAATCCCGACTGAGCGTGCCATCCATTGCGCCATTCGCCACAGCCGAGGCAAAAGATGCTCGATCTTTGTCGGCTCCAAAACTCATGGAGCTAATTTTTAAGTTCAAGCGCTCAACCCCTACAATTTATGAGCTGGAGGTGAATTGGATGAGGGGGAAGAGTTCAGCGACGTCGTCGTCGGGAAAAGGGTCCACGGCTGTCTCCGGGCGAAGCCGGAGTGAGGCGCAGCTGAGGAGCCCGATGAAACTTTCTTACGGATCATTCCCTTGTTTTACCCATGAGATGGATCGGAGCGCATTCTTTTCGGTATCAAAGTGACATTTGCCATCGTGAAATAGAGAGGTCGTGGACTCGTCTGAGCGGAGGGGGGGGGATCGATCGGAATTGGACTGTTCCGGAGGCGGCGTGAATAATTCCGGCTCGAAAGTCTGAAAATTCTTTATCCGTTCGAGGCCGAATGCTTCGAAAGCGGGTATTTTTTCCGCCATTGTTTAGGGTCTGAAAAGCCGACGGAGTGCGTCTAGAGAATCCTCCCGCCCGAGAGCCGATTATGTTTCAATATTCAACTCCTCGTAAACTTCCGTCGATACCGCTGCATCGGAAAGGTTAGGTAGGTATATGGATGCCTCTCTTCTCTGCCTGGATTTTTTTTCTCGATAAGGAGGAGAGATGGTTGAGTCCTCGAGCAGACTGGATCCCGAGGAAGAGCATTGGAGTGTTCCGATACCTAGGAGAGCGTTGCGTCAGAAATCTTCGGGTGTCAGCAGCGTCTTATTCAACTTGAGGTCTCAGCGGACGGAAATCGATCAGATACCGCACAGATAGCCTCTTTCCAATCAGTGATGTTTGGAGATGATTTGTCCGTATTAATTTAGTACGTGTTCCACGTGCTTTATTGTGGATATCTCCGAAGAAATAATAAGGAGGGCGCCGAGTCCATTCGGCCATCTGGCTATAAGTTCCACGTTGTCACGTTGCGAGAGACACTGGAGCGACCATCTGGCGGGAACCTGTTGCGCGCGCATGCCTTGCGCGACCCTTTCCCGACGTAAGGCATAAAAGAGCGCGCAACTCCGAGCTAACCCCCACATAAAGTGGAGTTCACTTCGAAAACTTATCGGTGACTCCGGGAACTTCTAACCTACTTCACTGGATCTCGCGAGCTCACTTCCAGTAAGCCTTCGTGTTGAGAGAATTTTCCGCGATCCGCGATCGATAGGTGAGTGATCGGTGTCTCCCTCTGCATAAAGCTCAGAAGAGTCAGAAGTGTGCCACGAGGCACCAGCGAGGAATCATGTGCGATACCCTAGCGGGTGTCGATGGCGGATGAGAACTCGGCAAACTCGGATACTTCCAAAGGGCGAGCTTGTTCAGAGGTGGGGAGATCATCTTCGGTGCTTTTCTACATTTCTGTTCTAATAGACAATGATACGTTCTCACGTCTTCGCCTAAGGAAGTGGTCGCGGTGGGAGTCAGCTTGCTTCACTGTCAGCGAAGAGGATCTGACTTTTCCTTGGAGAGGTCTTCTGTTCACTCGGAGGGCGGAGAACATCGGATCTCCTAATTCGCCGAGGCTCCCTCAGTGAGGCACGTCGGTCTCCGATGATCACAGAGAGACAGAGAAGCTTCCCGGTGAATTCGATTTCTCAGTCTTCGTGGCATCAGCGACAAGAGCCGGCCCAAGGAGTGTCAAGTCGTTCTCTAGGACTTTCATAGCCCAGATGTCGGAGGGGTCGCTTCGCACGCTGCTCGAGACAGACGACTCGGGTGGGGCCCGGCTGAGAATTTCCGCGGAATGATATCGTAATATAACTCTATGGATGTCGATTGTCACAAAATGCCGATAAGTCGAATCGAGTCTCTCAATGCACGATCGGACTCAACCTGGATGTCCTGCCGACATCTCTCGCCAAGAACGGTCGGAGCCTCCTCCAAGAAATAGCGAAATGATTCGCTCAGTATGCATCGAGCTCCACGGGGCTTCACGGCGGTTTCATGACTGTTTTCCTGTGCGAACTCGTCTTTGAACTACAAATCTTGTGCATAGCCCGCGGATGACTCTTGTTATTGCAGCCTGTACTCGGGCAGTCGCTCGCAGGGGGCTATCTCCATAGGAGGAAGAATTCGGGAATGAGACTTTCGTGCGCGTAACATTGTTCGTTGTTGTTGAATGATTAAGACGAGAAGGATCGCGACTGGAACCTCAGCGCTTTTCCCCCGCAGGAGTGTCTCCTCACCGTTCCTGGATGGATAGCACTCGCTCTCTCCGGCAGTAGCGACGATCGCCGCTGCCGTATTCTGCTCCTTACGTCTGGAGCGTATCACGATGTCGCGAGCACCGATATTCAGTATTCGTCACGTTCGCAAAAAGCTTCCGAAGCGCATGTGAGGAACATCGGAATTCACTCGCGAGCTAACTTTTCGAGCGATTTCCGGTGGAATTGAACTTTGGGATGACCGTTCCTCCGGCACGAGGCGGAGCTTTCTGACCGGCAGGAGACAGACCGGGCGGAACGAATTCTCGAGATCCTGAATTGGAGGGAGCAGCGGCGAATTCCCGTCACAATGCCTGGGCGTGGGTCGGCGAGAAGAGCGCCATAGATCGATTTGCGCCTCTCGGTGAAATACTCGTTCCTCCTCCGTTTTCTCTCTAAGCTGAGACTATTGAGGCGTTCCGTTCGCTAATTGCTCCGACATTTATTCTGAGCGACGAATGTTCCGAGTATCGAATTCCTTGCCCTGATTTCATCAACAAACGTCTTGTTAAAGTCAAGGAGTAAGCGCATTCAGATCGCATCGATTCTCCTCCAAAATATCGTCGGTTGACACAAGAGAATGACCATGGAATATTCCTTGTTTCCACGGAGCATCGTCTGACTCTTCATCACGAAGAATTTCGAGATCGTGGGTGACTGCGCTACTGTCTGGAAAGAAATGTAATTACAGTCAGATCGCTCATCGTCTCCGTCGTCTCCATTGAATCCGGAACGTTCCCCATATTCGTAGATCGAATCAGGCGATCCGTGTTGCTTGACATTTCCATCCTATTTCAAATCGTCCGTCGCCGAGCATTTGAATCTGTGTCGAGCTTGACTCCATCTCGGGTCCCAGAAGATTAATTTAGCACTATTTACGGCGATATCGTCGAGGTTCGCTCTGCTGTTCCCCGGGATCGAATTCCCGAGACCTTCGGGCTGGGCCCACAAAGCGATGCCGTGTTCTGGTGGCAGTTCACGAAGAAGGCCGGGGGCTGTTCATATCTGGATTCCGCCGTGATCCGAGGCTAACAGTAAGTAGCTCATCAGAGAACTAGTTGAGACCCGCAGTCGAAAAATTTTCTCGGTGTCTGCGGTGCAATCCATGTCTATTTTTGAATGGAATGAGAAATATGAGAGCTCCGCCTCACTGTTTGACCTGGGTGCTGAATTTTCTGCTTCACAACACCGGGCTGCCGTGGAGAAATGACGGCGCGCGACGTGGAAGAAGCGCGCGAACTCCAACTAATTCCCCGACAAGAATCGAGGAAATTAGGAATTACGAGGCCGCTGGCAGGCAGGCGCTATTGAGAGTTTCCCACGTGCTCGCCTGACATCGATGACACGTTTTGTCCCGTGCGCTTCATTTCTCGAGGAAGAGTCTCCTGCGAGCTAAAAACGACAGCGTGGGAAATCGAAGACGGTCAACCTCGTGGGAAGAGCCTCCATCGACAGCTTCAATGGGTGAACTTTGCCGTAATTCGGTCTCCCAGAAATGAGTCTCCCCGGAGCAAAACATATTTTCGCGGGGAGTCAGCCTCACTGCTGCCGTAGAGACGCATCTAGGGGGTAATTGGATGCCCGAGCAGGAACGAGAGCGCTCTCGTTCCTGCTCTCGTTTGTTGGGCCTTCGGGAAGAGTAAACTTTTTTCGGTAATATTCGGGAATGTCTGCTCGAACTCGGTCGGGAAGCTTGGCAGCGGCTCCCTGTCTCTCAAGGAACGAGCGGGGTGCTCCTTGGTGAGCGTGACACATCAAGGAGCCGAGGCGTTCAATTAGGATCCTTTACTAGAGCCCATCATGATACTTCGATCGCCCTGGGCACAAGGACAAAATCAATCAACGATTCTCATCAAGTTCCTCCCACTCGTTGTGTTCGTCCGGGATTTTGCGAGTTTGTGCTAATTTCGGCCAAAGAGAACACATCTCGATAATGCGCTCATTTGCGACAGCTGTGATGACGTTTCGAACTGCGGCTCCGACATCACGAGCGAAATCAACGAAAACTATGAATTTCCTCCCGTCAGGAATTTCGGACTCGTCCTTCTCAGCTTCGTGGGGTCGTCGATGGAGCCACTTGGTGGACGGTGACCGTGAGCGACCTGGCACAAGATGCGATAATCCCAACTGTCGAAGATCAATATCAGAGGAATAGCAAGTATACACCCTACAGCACATGTTTACTCAGGGGATTGTTTCTCTTTGGAATTGAAAACGAATTCCGCTGCTTGTTCTCGCTAATCGAATCCCCTGGAAACGTCCTAGGCATAGGCATTGCTCGGTCAAGCGTCGCGCAAAAAAAAACGTAACTGAGCAAGCCTAACCCCCACCCCCACGGAAATATCCTCCGGGATGGTAGACATCGGATCCCTACGGAACGAGTGCGTATGAGATCCGAAGGTCTGGCATTTACTAGGTTCTCTCGTCGCAGCGAGTTATAACACTGCCGAAGAACAAAGCCTGGAAAAAAACCTGGCCGAACGAGCTCTATAAATGGAACATGGGTGAGAGAAGCCGATTCAACTAACCGTAACTGGCGACGTTCTTCGTTGGCATATGAGCGCTCCGAGAGGGCTTCTCTGCCCGAATTACGGCCTAATTCTGTTTTCTGAAGCCGCATCCTCCGCCGTACCCGGAATCATCTGAAACAAGGTCCCCCACTAAACATGAGGCCGTATGATCAGCGGGCGCAACGCAAATGTCATCCGTACAGCGAAACCCTGAGCGAGGACCGCACGGATTCTCGTCAGCGTGCGAAGAGATGCCGGCGTCAGAACCCGGCGGAATTCGACGAAAACCCTGGCCGACTTATCGCTCGCGGCGATGATCTTGCCGAGAATCGACCGGATACGTGCCATAATTCAGAGTTCGATCGTCGAAGGGAGTGGCTCAACGGGATGAACCTCTTGTGGAAAGCCCCGATCTCAGGGATGCTCCCAGTTAATTGACGGAAGTCTTCCGCCGCGGCGCCAAAACAGGCCACATGGGGAACTTCCGTGTGTCTACGATTTACTTGTGTCAACAGACTCTTATTGAAGTTGACGTGCCCCTTGGTTCGCCTAAACAGACGCCGCCGACACTATGACGCGCCGAGAACGATGAGGGGCGTGAATATTATGGAGTCCAGGGGCATGAAAATATTTTCCGCACCGCGACCCGCATCCTTGAGATTTATCGCTCTCGAAGCCTTCATCACTCGACTCTCACTGACGCTCTCACTGACATAACCTTTCGGTGATGTAAGAAAGGTTATTCAGGGTGTGTTTACGTGCGGGATTTCATACAGAGGGATGGGGGCTTGAGTAATCCCCTATGGAAGGATACAAAGGTGGTCGTACGGGCGTGTTTCACAAATGTTTGCTTGCATGATTCATGTCCAGAGAAGACGGGAGGCTCCAGAGCTTGCAGTACGTGGAAACAATCCGCGCAATCGACGAAGTATCCGCAAAGTCGCGATTTCGAATGAATTCTAGCTGAGGGGTCTTTGATCCGGGGAATCTCGTGACGCTTGCGAAATTGGGGCTCAGCGGTCAGATTGCGCCTAGTATTAGAATGAGTTAAGGGCGTGCGTGAGGGATACTCGCAGATCTGGGCTGCCGCTCCCCCCCTCGGAGCGTTCCAGAGCGCTGACGGTCTGCAATTGTTTTGACAACCGCATTCGAATGCTTAGCTCCGCGCCGTTTATCAGAGCTTTCCTCGGAGGCCGTCGTAGCCAAAACCCATTTGGGACTTGCAGACCTCAACATGTCATATGTTTTCACTCGTAGATGTCAACACGACCTCGACTCGACCTTTTTCGGATTCCGACTCGGTCAGGGACATCGGGAGATCTGTGGTCCACCGATTTCTGCAGCGCTGCAGCGATTCCGGAGAATCACTACCGGAGCCTCGAACTACGATTCTGACCCTCGGAATCCTAATCGGCCGACTCGAGACACTTGTCTCGTCTTTGAGTCGCGAGGAT